TGTGAGCCACCATGTCCTGCTCAATTTCTTTTATAATCTTCAAAACATGAGTCTACCAGTGATGTTTCAATCTAAAATGTGGCCTTTGAGCCACTGAACATATTTTCTGACATGACTGTATTTGAATGTCCAGACCAAAGACTTATACAAGGGTGGTATCCACTTTTTCTAGACTTACTCAAGCCAGAGATGACTGGCTTTGCACCTGAAGCTCACTATTGGCTTGCTTCTGTGTTCAGATGGCTTGAAAGTGAAGAACAACACTGTCTTAATTAGTGAATTAATTTCTTATTTTTGAGTTTTATTATTTTTGAATGATTTGAGAAATCTTCTAGAGAACTGGCATCCATGTCAGGTGGCTCAGATTCCAGGGATCTGAGGTGTTCTTCTGACCTCTGTGCCTGTACTCATGTGCACTTATCTCCCACAGACTCACACATAGGCATGCAATTAAAAAATAAAATGAACTTGCAGGCATACATGCAGACAGAACACTGAATACATAATAAATACATCTTAAAAAAATAAAATGAAAAAAAAAAACACACAAGAAGAATAGTATCCCTAGATACAGAAAGTTCAGTATCAGTGTCCTTTAAATACACTTTATCAGAGTGCATGCAGCCATAACATGACATAACATAATGTCGTAACATAACACAACACATCCATGCTTGCCCGGGGCTGCTTTCAAGTTACATTGGCGAGCATGGTCATGGACCACAGAGCCTGAGATATTTATTATCTGACAAGCCCTGCCCTGAGTAAATAAGGGGGTGGGGGCAATCTCCACTCGCCTGTCCATCTGTGGGGCCGGTGAATGAAAGCAAGTGCTGGGAAGCCTTGCCAGTGTTTAATTAAGGATGTGAATTTTCCCGGCAACTTTGTCATTATTGTCCTTGTGCTCTGAGTCCTTCTGTTTGTTTAGAGACACGCACCCAGGCCCCAGTAGCAGCTATAAAGTAGCAGGTTCCGATGGTGGGGTCCCTGAGGATGCAGGTGACCCGTGGGAACAGATTCTGGCGGCTCGGAAAGCTTCTGTTGGGAAGCTCTTCCCATCTGCATTTGCTTTTTTCCTTCTGTTGGGGAAAGTGGAAGAAGGAAGGGAATTAGAGAGGCTTACATTATTTTTTCTTCGTGTGTGTGTATGTGTGTGTGTGTGTGTGTGTGTGTGTGTGTGTGTGTGTGTGTGTGAATGGATGGGGTGCATGTGCTTGTGTATACATGTGGAGATTAGTGGTTGACTTTAGGTGTCTGCCTCAATCACTGTCTGCATTGCTAATGTTACGTTGAGACAGGATCTCAGACTGAACTTGGGGTTCTAGGATTGGGTTGGACTGTGAGGCTCGGGGGTCCTTCTGCCCCTACCTCTCCAGCACTCATTTTGCGGGTATGCCCTGCTTTTGAAGTTCATGGGACTTGATCTTGGGTCTTCATACTTGCATGGCAAGCACATTACTGACTGAGACTTCTCCTTGGCTCTACCTTTTTGCTGACAATTCAGCAGGCTTTTGCGCTCTGATTCCTTTTAGGCCCTTGGTGGTGTATGTTGACTGTGAGCCTTCGCCCACAGGTCCAAAGCTTAAGCCTCATCTCCTAGAGCCGCAGTGTAAAATACGATTTGAAGGAGCGCCTAATGGGGCAAGATCAGAACATTACTATTAAACAAAAGATGAAATGCTTAAGCCAAGATGGCCTTATTAGTATTATTATTTTTTTGACTAAATGAAAGGCGAGCAGACCCCATTTCAACAGTTCTCAATGTAGGAATTCCCTCAGCCCCATTTGATTGCCGTTTGTTGAAAAGTTTAATGTTTTTGTAGGCAATTCATAATTTCCATGTGGAGCAGCTAGAGAGGAAGCGAGCAGGAGCCTAGTGTTTTTCTTGTAGGATGGTGGAGATATTTTCCCCCCAAAGGGTATAAAGCTGCAGTGGAAATGTTGGGCAAATGAGACAGTGAGTGTTCAGCCCTTCTGAGACTCCACTGTGCGTCTTCCTTTAGAATTCAGCAGAATAGAATTTCTCACGGCTTAATGTCTCCAGGAAGGAAGAGATTTTCCTTTAGGCTGTAATTGTACCTAATTTCCTTCTTCTTCCCTTTATTTATTTATTTTCCCTATTAATCAGGACCAATAGTGGAAGACGAAGGAACTGGGGAGAGTCACTTTTGGAAGAAGTTAATAACTTCTTTTAAAATAAAAATCTCAAGATAATACTTGCTTTCCCAGAAGGAACCCTGTCATCCAGCATGCTGGTTAAGATTCTAGGAGTGGGCACGGATTTGTGGGTGCCTAGCTGTTCAGCGGTGTCAGGTTGCACCCAAAAGGAGCATTTGAGGTTGTCATTGAGGAGTCCCTGCCAGTCGGTAGGGCCAGGGGCTGTCCTCCACCATCTGGATTTGGTTAGCTCTCTCTGGGCAGCAGGGGTGACTCTCATTTCCTCCAACCAGTAATGTTATATAGGCAGCGGTCCTGGCCTGCCCTGACATAATTGAAAATTATGTGTATTGTAGGCTCAGAGCGCTGAAATGTAGGCTCATAAAAATATGTGGTGCAGGTAGCCTATGGAGATTGGAACACAATGAAGCTTTTATGTACACTAAGAATTAGAAGTCTCTGAGTTGATACTGCATTCTGAGTGTGACAGTTCTTGGGTGGGTTCCTCAGGGCAAGTCTGCCACCTTAAACCAAGCCTAAATGTTCTAACTCAATAGAGCTGGCATCAGGATGCAATCAGATCTCCTTTACCGACGGTCAAGGATGAAAACTTGCCCACCCATCCATCAGACCCTTCCGTTGGAGCCCAGCAGGAGGTGTGGGTGTGTCTGTTCAACTTTGCAGTTTTGTCTGTGGGTTCTCGTGAGATGGAGAGGTAGTGTTGGCCAGTGTTCATTTTTGGTTGGCCTCAAGGAAATGACTCTATTGAGTGGTTTTGACCAATGCAGCCCCTATAGTTATGTGGCAAGTGTGAATGGGAAGAAGTCAGGGCGAGCAGGGCAAAATAGATTCCCAGAGCCTCCTGGCTCAGAGACAGGGCTGGGGATACCTTGGAAATTCTGTTTCCAGTGGTTTTAAACTTAGGGTTATCCTGGCTCCACTTTGGAAGTGGTTTGGTTATAAGGATGAATGGGAAGGTCTTGCCAGGATTCAGTGCCCGGACTCCTACTGCTCTTCAGTATTCAGGCAGATCTAGTCTTCCATCACAGATATGGCAACGCCTTCAATTAATAAATGACAGCTAGAGATAGGTAGAAACAACTTTGATGGAAGATCTTGTCAAGCTAAACTTTACCAGAGGCTTCTTGCTAAAAGTCTCCAGCTGTAAAAGATGAAGCTACCGTGTGTGGATCTAGGCAGGAAAAGCAGATGGCATACTTGTGCAGGTAGCTGATGGGCTCCGAATCATTCCACCTTAGGTATAACCACGCTTGGTTTTAATTTACCAAACAGGCATATCTTTGAGCACCATACACTTGTTTGACCTCTCTGTTCCCACATGGAGGCTGAGCAAAGCCTTTCCTGGGCAGTCCATTGCTGTCTTTTCTTTCTACGGAAATCTTAAAGACTTAGCTACATCTACTTGGTACAGTATTTTTTTTTCAGAAATTCTACCATCTTTCTTGGCATGACCTGGGCATAGCTGCCCACATTCTGCTTTGACCTCCCTCTATGTGTGCTAGCTGCCTCACAAGTATGAGCTTCCCAAGGGCCGACATCTTGTGTGCCTCCTTATTCTCAGCAAGATGAACAGACACAAAGCAAGTTTCCGCTGTGTTCATTGACTACAAAATTCTGGAGCTCAGTAGTTAAAGGTACTTGTCACCAAGGCTGATGACATGAATTTGATCCCTAGAACTCTCATGGTGGAAGGGGAGTGGACCCTGCAGCTTGTCCTCTGATCTCCACCCGTGACCCATGACCCCCACCCCCATGTGCATTTCATTTCTATAAAATGAATATGGAGATTAGTCATTTTGCTTTGAGTCTCTGGAATGATGGAGACTGTTCTTTATGTCCCCTCTAAGCACTACTGATGCTTAGTCACATGATGTTTAGAATTGCAAAGCCCGTCGCTGATGTCCTTACAAGCATCCTGCCCAGTTTCCTCAACTGATTATCCAGGAAAGTCACATGTTCTTAGGGTATTCAGAGCATCTCCATACTGAGCAGGCCGCTTCACCTCAGTTTCCCTATCTGTAAAACTAAAGAATGAATTAGGTCAATGGATAGCTCACGGTCCTCTGACAGCTGCTCCATCAATTTCAACAGAAGTAGCTCGTTGTGTGTCCTCTCCTGCTCTGGGGAAAGGCAGGGAGGGATACATGGACTCATCCTTCGGTTTTCCCTCATGTTAATTCTGCCCACACCGAAGAATTGCACTGTTCTTTTAAAATGATTGTATAAATTGCACTGTGCCCGTGGTGTGCCCGTGGTGTGCCTCTGCTGCCAAGAAAGATTTCAGCTGTCCAAGCTTTGGGGTGAGTTGAGGAGTGCTGTGCTGCTTGGTCATGACGGAGCTCTCTGTTGTGAAAGGAAGTCAAGGATGTTGGTGTTTTAGTGATGTTTTAAAGATGAAGGTCGCTGGAAGAGCGGGTTTGATCTAGATGGTCCAGGACCTTTCTGGCTGAGGTTCTGTGTTGGCTTTATGCCTTTACCCCCTCTTTTCCTCCCTGCACCCCTCCCCTCCATTGCTCCCCTCTTTCCCTCTCTCTCTCCTTCTCTCTGAAGAAGCTAGTGCTCCTGAACCCCCTTACCAGAGCCACCCCATAACTGACACTGCAAAGACAGGACTCTGCTTGGTAGTAATGTTACTTTTTTTGCATTTGCACTTTTGGCTCTCAGGAAAACTTGCTCATACCTTCTCCTTTGTTGCATGTTTTAGATTTTTCTTTTCTTTCTTTCTTTTTTAACTTTCTGATGTAAATAATGCATAATGCTTATTTCTTAGGTGACTTGCTCACGTCCTCGCCTCCTGAATTAATTGTTTTCTTTTTTTCCAGTACCTTCAGATGAAATGGCCACTGCTCGATGTCCAGGCAGGAAGCCTCCAGAGCAGACAAGCCCTCAAGGATGCCCGCTCACCATCACCCGCACACATCGTTGTAAGTGTCTTTCCGTGACGTTCACCTCTTTGTTGGGGGCAAAGGGTAGATGCTCTCCTTCTTTCCTTTGGATGACAAAAACTCGTATTTGTCAGTTCTTTTAAAATGTTTTTCTGGAGACTAGCTTTGGATATGGTCTGTGTGACAAGCTCTTCCTTCCCCATGATGGTACCACAGCGATGGTCATGAGGAAATTTCCCGAGCCTTCCTTCCCCCACTGTGCTCTGTGTTTTGGGTTAGAAGCTAGACTTGTGGGCGTCTGTTAATAGGATACATCCTTCCTGGTTTGGGGGAACTAGAGATGGAACTGAAGCAGTTGTTTAGAAAAAATGCATTTTAGGGGAAGCGAGACCAAAAGGCGGGCGAGAGAAACGGGTCTGAAATTTTCCATCTACCCTATTTATTTTGATATGTACTAGAAAGTAACACTTTCCATGAAGATTGAAAACTTGATCTGAGCTCGTTAACTAAAGCTAGAGTAGAAATGAACTTAGAAAGGCCCAAATTAAACTTAATCCGTGTACTCACAGCTTTGAAAGCATGTGGAGTTGACACAGAAAACATTTGTTTTTACTGAGACTACAGCATCAAGTATGTGTCAACATATATTTTTAATGCACTTTCCTAGCACATCGTAGGCTCTGAAAGTCTATAAATTAGCCTCCTGAGAAGGTAGCTCAGCCTTATTAGAATATCTATTTCCTTCTATATATTTATATCATGAGCTGGACTTCAGACTTTTGAAATAATTAATGAAAGACATATTTTTATAATGAATTCATGACAGGTAGAATTATGCAAAGCAGGAGATAATTCATACATTTTTTATTTACGCTATCACAAAATGTTACCCATTAGTCTGTTCGGCCTCTACATTACTCAGAATCTCTAAAAATTGCAAAATAATTTGAAGTAGAAAAACCTTAAGATGCATTTTGTCAAATTTCAGGCCACCTCCTGATTTGGTAGCTCGTTATAATTGATTATTTATTATTTAGTGAGCTAGGCCTCAGTTGTATGTGTGTATATCAGAACATAATTTATTTCTGTAAAACCACATTTGGAATCTTGATTGGTGGAAATGTCTTAACTTCTCATGGTATAAATAAGGCATGTAGGAAGAAGGCTGACATCTGCTAGAAGTTTCTTTCCTCTTCTAACCCCACAATTAAATGGATGCTTGTAATTACGTACGTTCCTGGGATGTCAAATGAGAGTTGGAGGTGATAGCCATAGACCGTTTTAGGCCCAGTCTGATTCAGGAAAGGAAACTGAGTGAGACCCAGAGATGCCTTAAGTGAATTGCCCAATGTCACACACTGAGGTAGCAGCTGGAACAAAGGCTGCATCCAGCTCTCTGCGCCCTTTTGGGACCTTCTGGTACATTCTCTTCTGTGAGAGGTGAGAGCAATGCTCGTGGCTGACTCTTGTTACTGTAAGCTGGCTAGCCATCGGGGACAGAGGCAGGAGGGCGGTGTGAAGAAGTTGCTGGTGAAGATACTGATTCAGGTTTCCTTGGAAAATCAAATGCCATGTTAAAAAAAATCTTCACACATGGTTATCGGAGCCCAGAGTGTGATTCGAGCGAGGTTCACGTTTTCCTGTGACAGTGCATTCCCCAACATCTGCCCACATGTTGATATTTAATTCTCTCACCTTGGAAGCTCTCCCTGGTAGTCTCCCTACATTTTACCTGCGGAGAGGGGCGGTACCTCCGCAGACTTAACGCAGTTCAGTGTGTGCACAGCTGTGGTGGTGAAGGATCGTAGGCCATAGCAGCGCAGAGCAAGACCCTCATATAAGTGTTGGGTTGTCACAACTGCCCCCTCTTGTCCTGTATAAATCCCGTGGGATCAGCAGCCACAACTGGGGGCCTCAGGGTCATATTTTCTTGCGTGGAAATGGACAGTCTGTAGATGGTGGGAAACGGTCTTTGCAGAGCCAGTGTGAATCTTGACAAGGGATTCAGAGGGGAGACTGAGGCTCCTTTTCCTCTACTGTTTTCTAGAAGGCACATGTACCCCGGCAGCCACTGGGGAGAACACACGTCACCTTTAAAGTGGGCGCTTTTGTCCACAGGAGCCTTAGCTGACAGTGGTCACACAGTCTTGTTTACCAACTGCTGTGCCCGTAGTGACCCGGGGACTAGCCATCTAGTAGAGGTTATAGGTTTGTGGAGAAAGGTGGGCCCCGGGAGCAGAGGAGAAGGGAAAAGCTATAAGTTTGGGCAAAAGGAGATCACGTTTGGAAATGCTTAATTATCTTCTTACTGGACATGGACTATGTGTCCAACCTAAACCACCCGAACCACACCGGGTGTCCCGGAGAGCTTTCTGAAGTGTGGTTCGTGCATCGTATGGGTTTGTATACAGTTTCACCGTGGCCGGAGGGGTTTGTGTCTGTGTTCAGATTTGGGCATGAATGGCTGGCTTTCCCCCTTACACTTCAGTTTTCATTCTGTTAAACACCATGTTGTCATATCATAGCACATCCCCAGACGTATTTCAAAATAGCCTTCTATGGATTGTTTCCTAATTTCTCTGAAATTTTGATTATTGTAACTTGTGGGCCAAGCTGTTTCCAAATGACTTCTGATATTTCACTGCAAAAATAGAGAAGTGTAGGGGCTTGTCAGTCACTTGAGGTTGTGACTATCACAGATTGCTGAGGAAACAGCTTCCCCAGGTCCCGCTCCCAGAAGAGAAGCCTCATCTGGGAATTTAAAGTATTTTTCCAGAATATATTAATCTGGTTGAGTTTTTTTTTCATATGTAGGAGGTTTCCATGCCATATGAAGTCGATGTGTATGGGGCTGGAAAGATGGCTCAGCAGTTAGGAACATTCATTTACTGACCTGTCAGAGAACCAGGGCTGGGATTCCAGAGCCAACATTAGATGGCTCACAATTGCCTAAAACTCTAGCTCCAAGAGTTCTGATACCTACTTCTGGCCTCCATGGGCACCTGCACACACATTACTCACACACACACAGTAACAATAATAAACATCTTTAAAAAGTTGATGTGTGGAGTAAATGTTAATGTTAGGACCTAACAATGTGTGTTCATTGCTCATTCATTGTTCATTCATTCATTTCCTGGTGCTGGGGTTAGAACCCGAGGCTTTGCTCAGGCTAAGCAGACATTCTACTACTGAGCTACATCCTAGTCCTATCCAATAATATTTAAGTTAACCCTCTCCCACAAAATACCCATTCATTTTTGTAGTTCCTTTAACCAGTATTCAGCATCATGTTATAGCCTGGTGAGTCCCAATCTCTATTCTGAGAAGAAATCGTTCCCTAGAGATGCCTTGGTTGGTTGACCAAAAACTTATCGTTCCTGCAAGGAATCAGTCCTTGCCTCCCTCTTCCCCATACCCTCTCTGCCCCACTACCCAACTATGACTTCGTAAAGCCTCAAAAATGCTAAGGAACCCATTCTAAGACTCCTCTTTCCGATTCCATTTTCTAATTGGTTCTATTTTACTTTCTCTGGCATTTCTGAAATTTCTATTCTAATTCTTCTTTTTCCTCTTACAAGTGGAAGGAGGAACTGCAGGCCTCTGCTGGGGGGTGGTGTCTCATGCAAGGTTTGTAGACTGCCTCCAGCAGCTGGTAAGCTGTGGGGTTAGGGCTTGCTCCCTGGGTACCACCTCCGGTGCCTTTGCTATACAAAGACCTTCACTTAACTTCCTTTGTACCCAGAAAAGGAAGAAAAGAAAGATTCTAGACCCCAAATGGTGGTATTTTGGTATAGCATGTGTCTTACAACCCAATAAAAAGGCTTCAAAAGTTTTTACAATTTTATCTCGGGGGTTTGCTTTTGAAGTCAGTGTGGAGTTTTACCTTGGGGTGGATTCTTCCTGTTTCTCTGTCTTGAGTGTTTTGTTGGGTAATGAGCATTGAAGAGTGGGATGGGAGAGCAGACTGAATCCCAGCGAAGAAAGCCTGCCAGACAGTGGTGATACACAGTTTTGTTGTTGTTTTTTTTTTTTTGGTTTTGTTTTTTGTTTTTAATTGCTTAAATGTTGATGGCGAGCAGAATCCTTACAAGATGTAGCATAGCCAGTAGGACTTCACACAGGGTCTCTGCCCTCTGTGCTGCGCGCATCTCCAAGGGACACAGGGCCCATGGAACTAGGAGCTTTTGTTTCTACAGAGTCCAGGAGGGCCTACTCATTGTTAATTAGAAAATGACCTCAAGAATATTCTCTTTGTAGTTAAATGCGTGTGAAGGCTTCTAACTTTTTTTTTTCCAGTGTTCCCATGTTTATGGGGATCGACTAAATGCCAGGAGGCTTTGTGACGGAAAGATGTCAAGACTGGCAAAAAATTGTGATGTGTGCCTGGAAAGATTACAGGGCCCCTGCGGGTGTGACCAGGGAAACCTGGTTGTGACTGGGAAGTTGATGGGCATTGTGTTCCTGGACATTTGAGATGGCTAAAGATGGTTAAAGGGTGCAGTTGAATAGGGGGTGACTTCCCATGTTCTGTGGCATGGCAGGTTAACGACGATTGACATTGTTTAATTGGGTATTTCAAAATAGCTAGTCTAGAAGATTCTGAATGTCTCTGTCTGTGTGGGTGTGCATTAAAAGAGTGACAGGTGAGAGAATGAACTTGTGAGGTACTGCATCTAAGCCTGTCCATGGTATGCATGTGTGGGGCTATCCCACCCTAAGTCACGCATTTGTACATTTAGTATGAGTCCACAGAAACTAGCAGTATTAGAACTGGAATTTGGAAGATTTATGGAAGATGGTGTATGAAGCTCTAGAGAGGGGTGAGAACAGAGAGCGTGCTGGGTGGAAGGGGAAATGCATTAGGTCGTATGGGAAAGAGTAGGTGTAGGGGACTCAGAGACCTCTGGCGGAGGTGGAGACCCTGGTGCCGTGACATCAAATCTGTGAGAGGAATCATGAAGGGTTTGGTGACTGTGTGGTGCTACAAGCCCTAGGGATGGTGACGTGGACAGATTTGGATGGGACCGAAGGGGAAA